CTGTCTTTGTAATGACTCCCTGCTTTCTTCCTGGATGATATTCTTGATACCCTCTCACAGCTCAGTTGGTCTTCGTTCATTAGTGTTCAAGATCCTTTCTATAGCATAGTTTAAAAGAAGCTTCCAAGTTTTTATTGGATCTTATCCTTTTGAGTGTTCAAACTCAGATATGAAATAATCATTAAAAACCCAACAGTAGAGAAGTTACAGACACAACGTAAACCAATACACAGGTAAAAAGGAAGATAAATGGTAAGTCCCAAACCATGAAAGTATTCTATGCTGATCATTGGTAAGGTCTGTAAAAATCTTGTCAGCAGCTTTCTAAAAATTTTCTTACACAAAATTCTGTTGCTGTTGTAACCTCTTTTTCCCTTTTTTTGGGTTCTTTTTCTGATTCCTGTGGTAATTTACGTAATTCAAAGGATCTATTTTGCCCTCCAATTGAATGCCTGCTAGTGAAAATGAAAATAACATCTCAAGATGTTGAAAAAGTAGAGACCTACTGTATAAACTTTGAAGTACTAGTCACAATTGCAAACAATTTATATGAATTTTAGCAGGCAAAACTGAGCCTAAATAAAATTATTTCAGAAGTGTAAGGACTTCCTAGTTTTAACTCACTAACAATTATTTCAGTCCTGATTAAAACCCTCAAACACAAGGAGATAGGCCACCATTTAAGCTAAAGTTATATATTCCACAGCAGATAAGTATTTGAATACACTGATTGTTCGGAAAATGAGGAAACATGCACAAATTGTGTAAAGCAGAAGAGATAAGACAGTGCTCTGAGATTTCCCAGGTTTTCTCCTCTCTTTTCCCTCTGGCACATTATCTTACTTTGCCCTAGTACTATCTAAAAGAGCTAAAAATACTCTTATTCACTGACCTTTGTCCCCATCAACTTCAGAACTTGGGAAGGTAATTAATGACACTAACCAATATATTATATTCGTGACAAAAACCAGGTTATTAATTTTTAAATACTGAATTTCAGATTGAAAGTTTAAATGATTGCAAGGAAATTAACTTCCTTCTGTATCTGCATCAGAGTTGTTGCTGGATGCCATCAAGTCAGTTATCACTGGTAGCTGCACTATCTTCACAATCTGTCCTGCTCAAGCTCACTTTGATAGTCCATGGGTCAATCTATCTGGTTCAGAGTCTCCCTTTCTCTTTTGCTGACTATCTGCCTTTTCCAGTATAATGTCTCTCTCCAAGGACTAATTTCTCCTGAAAAATAAGACTTCTGATTTTAGAAGATGGATCAGGATATTCTGCCGGGTAAAAGTAGAAAAGACATTCAAAGTCCTGAGTGACAAGATACCTCCTGAATAATTATACAAAGATTTGACCTATTACTTTTACAGTTTAAAAATTGCTATTGAGTCCATTCAGACTTGTTCATCGTGGTGTTGTAGGAAAAAAATAGAGTTGTCCTATAGGGTTTTCAAGATTGTAATAGTAAAGGAAGCTGGCTACCCATCTTTATCTTGGTGAAGGCTGGGAGATTTGAACTGATATACTTCTGAGAATGAGAGGGGCTCTAGTGGTGGCAATGACAGTTGAGTAGAAGTAAATTAGGCAATCTTGGGTAAACTGTGCCAACTCAGTTATTCAGATCTGAAGGGATTGTAAAGGATGGGAAATCTCTCATAACTGGTTGCATTTTACCCAGTTTTGCCAAATTTCTCAGCAACAGTCTTTTGCCAGTAAGAATAAGACATGTTATCACACTCCAACATTCAGAAAAGCATAGAATTTGAATTTTCTTATTTAAATTTGAAGTATTGAGAGTTTAAAAATTTTTAATTTTTTAAAGGATTTATGTTCTTAAATCTAGACTTTGCAGCTCAAAGTCTTAAAGAAAAAACAATGCTAGTCTAAAGTATAGAAAGTGAGTTTCTGAGTAAATGAAAATAATACAAAATCAATATCTTAGAGTGTGATAGGTAATTAGCTACGAACCTGTTTTTGTAATTAGGTGCCATCATGCTGCCTGCAGCTCATAGCAACCCTCTGTACAATAACTCTGAACCCTGCCAGAACCTGAACCAGTCTCAATGACTCTGACACATTTAACTCCTTGCCCTAGTTACCGTGACAACCCACCTTACCCTGGATCTTTCTTTCCTGAGCCGTCCCTCCACATTTTGAAGCGTGATGTCAAGTCCAAGGACAGGTCCTTCCTGGCCACGTGCCAGAAGTATGTGACAAGGAGCTTCAAAATCCTTGCCTCCTAGGAGAAACTTAGTTTTATCCTCTCCAAGACAGACTTATTTGTTCTCCTAACAGTCCATGGTATGTTCAGTACTCATCACCAGCACCACAACTCAAAGGCATTAATTCTTCTTCTGTCAATCTTAGTCATTGTTCAGCTCTCTGATACATAGCAAGTAATTGAGAAGACCATGGCCTGGGTCAGGTGCACCTTTATCTCTAGACTGACATCATTGCTCTTTATCACTTTGGAGACATCTCTGAAAGCAGACTTTCCCAATGTAATTCATCTCCTGTCCTTGAGATCACCATTTGCTTTTGGGAGAAAAATGAACAATGTCAATTCATAAAGATTTATATCCTTTGAAACCCAATGGAGGAATGCTATGAGTTGGATTCAACTCGATGATAGTGGATGTTAGAATTAAAAACATAGAAGTATTACAGGTAAACTCTGCTTTATCATCCCTTGTCCCTTTTCCAGGGATAAAAGGGATAATTTCTTATGTATACTTCAAGATAATTTTTTTATGTAAGTACACACACATGTAAAAAGATATGATATATTCTATCTTTAGAATGATGGGATGCTAATATACAATTATTGATCATTATACAATTAATGACTTCTTTTTTACTTAAAGATACATTTTGACACCATGTCATATCTACATTTATGATTACTTACCTCAAATTTCTTTCAGTTGATAGTAAGGGGACATTATGGAGGACATGAACAGCTTTAGCAAGTCAAAGAAGTTAAAAACACACATTGTTAACAACTGATGAATGAAAATAATAAAAAAGATCATGTAATATTTGCGTCCCTTTTCAGCAGGAAGTAGCTAAGAGAATACGCCATCCCCTTTTCCTTATGACTCAGGGTGAAGTCTCTCTCAGGGAGGAGTGATAGGGAATGGCAAAGGACACACTGACAAAGAAGATTAATCAGAACTGGCTTTGACAAGCACTGTGGCATTTGGACAAGAACAAACTGGGAGGAGGGTAGAGAGAATAGTGCAACAATGAATGAATGGAAACCCAAAATCTCTGTAAATGTTTATGAAAATTAATAAAATATAATAAAAAAAGAAAAGTGCAAAAAAACCAAAACAAAACAAAGAATGTAATAAAAAAGAATATTATAATATTGATAAAATGAAATTAAAAATTTAGTATCATGGTAAGATTTCCTTAGGATTACTATATTTTTAATAGATGGGTCTGATGTATATTAGTTTTCCCAGGAAGTTTAGCACTCCAAATAACCTCTTCCCAAAGCATTTAAGAATTCTTACATCACTGGCATACTTCCATTATACAGCTATGCTTCTCTATGCCATACAATTTACACTAACGATCACATCCATACTTGACACCAGATGGTTAACAGTGGTCTCTGTTGTTGAGGTTGATGGTTTGGGGTTTGGAAGGAATGGGAAGGTGAATTTTCAAACTATTGATACATTTTCCATTGGTTACGGTGTTGGCTCTCGTTGAGTCACCCTTGACATATTGCAACCCTTTGCACTACCCTGTGCATACCCATTCCATGCCAGGCCCTGTGCCATCTCCATGAGGCCTGGGATCAGATCATTTTTCCAATTTAGACCCCAGAATCACTCTTTCTAGTCTTTATTAGTCTGAAAGTTCCTGAAACCTTTTCAGTGTCACAGCATCACAAAAACCTCCTCTAGAAGAAAAAATGGTGGTTATGCATGAGGTTCTTCAATTGGGAATGAAATTTTTATCTTCAATTGGGAGGCAATAATATTATTGCTAACCCAAATTGACTCTTCTATTGGTAACTGTAGGAAATGTAAAGTTCTAAAGAACCATTCAGAGAACCATTCAATGTAACACTGCAGTATTACCTGAAGATCAGAGGATAAGAAACATTCTCCAGGGATTGTAACTAAATTGGGAAGATAGGAACATGAACTCACATTTGTCAGATAGCAAATTCAGTGTTAATAAACACTACTTTAAATTTTTATTAACTACTCATTGGAGAGGAATATGTCTTTTAATATGTCTGATAGCATGCTAGCTAGTTGCTAGATTTTATATATATATATATATATATATATATACACAAGTGTAGAGTTTACATGCTATAAATTATTCACATAACCAGGACTTGACATTGAAGAAAAAGACTCAAACTAGATATAAGCAAGTTCTAGTTTTGAGTTGGTTCTGAATCAGTGGCAATGAAGTTTTTTCACCTCATGCAAGATAAGTGGAAAGAATTGGGAGTGCTGGTGGCAGCCTAGTCTGTAGGGAATTGAACTTGCCAACCCCAAAATGGCACCTCTCTGCTGGTTCAAGTACGCCAGAAGCTCAGTAGGAGAAGGCATTCTCCTTCACTTGCAGTCTCCAAAACCTCACTGGAGGGTAAATGAGTTGGTTCTGAATCAGTGGCAATGAAGTTTTTTTCACCTCATGTAAGATAAGTGGAAAGAATTGTCAACAAAGGGTTTATAAAAGAATAAAAAGAACAAAAAAGAGAGATTTTGTGATTGTTAGAACTGATGATACACTCTCAAATTCTGAAGTTGCTAGTACATTTACAAATATGGAAACTCACTTGAAATGCTTGGTAAGAAATATTTTTCTTTTTAGCAATACATTTTCACATGATTGAATAGATTGATCTATAATATACTTAAATGCCTAACAAAATGTTTTTAAGTATCTGAGTTAGAAAATAACTACGCTTTTATTGAATTCTTGGTATTTTCTATTTCAGAGAACTAAGAATTGAAGAGGTTGAGATGAATAAGGTAAATGAGAGTGACATCCCAAAGGAGTTCATCCTGTTAAGTTACATAGATCTACCATGGTTGGCACTTCCTTTCTTTGGGGTGGTCCTGGTTTCCTATATCTTGACCATTTTTGGCAATCTAGGAATCATTCTGGTGTCACGTCTGGATCCCAAACTCCATACCCCTATGTATTTCTTTCTTACTAATCTGTCTTTCCTGGACCTTTGCTACACCACAAGTATAGTTCCACAAATGCTGGTAAACATATGCAGCACCAGGAAGGTCATCAGTTATGGTGGCTGTGTGGCCCAACTTTTCATTTTCCTGGCCTTGGGGTCCACTGAATGTCTCCTTTTGGCTGTCATGTCCTTCGATAGATTTGTAGCTATTTGTAGACCTCTCCATTACTCAGTTATCATGCACCAAAGACTCTGCATCCAGTTGGCAGCTGCATCCTGGATTAGTGGCTTTAGCAACTCAGTATTGCAGTCCACACTGACCCTTCAGTTGCCACTCTGTGGCCACAAAGAAGTGGATCATTTCATCTGTGAAGTTCCTGCTCTGCTCAAGCTGTCCTGTGTTGACACAACAGTAAATGAGACTGAATTATTCTTCATTTGTGTTCCATTCCTTCTAATACCCTTGACACTTATCCTTGTGTCTTATGGTTTTATTGCTCAAGCAGTCCTAAGAATAAAGTCAGCTGAAGGTCGGCGTAAGGCATTTGGAATTTGTGGCTCCCACCTAATTGTGGTGTCACTATTCTATGGCACTGGTATCTATATGTATATGCAACCACCATCCTCTGCCTCCAAGAATCGGGATAAGATGACATCACTTTTCTATGGAATCATCACACCTATGTTGAATCCTCTTATATACACACTTAGAAACAAAGATGTAAAGGGAGCTTTTAAGAGGTTGGTTGTAAGGGTTTTATTCATCAAGAAATGAACACTCTCATACACTGTGCTTGGGATTGTAAGAAGTGCAAAAACTCTGGAAGACAGTTTGGTGTTTCTTCAAAAAGTTGGACATAGAAACAACATATGACCCAGCTATTCCACTGCTAGGAATATACCTCAAGGAAATTAGAATTGAGACACAAATGGAGATTTGTACACCAATGTTCATAGCAGCGTTATTCACCATCACAAGAATGTGCAATCAGCCCAAATGTCCAACCATAACCTACTGGATTGAGAAATTGTAGTACATTCACACCATGAAATACTATGCAGCATGCAGGAGCAATGATACTGAAAAATATTGAATAACTTGGGAGAGGCTGAGAGCATCATGCTGAATGAACTAACACAGTCCCATAAGGGCAAATACTGCATAAGATCATTATTGTAAAAATAGAAGGATAACTAGTAAAACACATACAGGAACTCAAGGAGGGGTTGGAGGGAGTGACGAGGTGAGGATAGGTAGAGGTGAAATCACAGGGCTGCACAATGTGGTGGGTGGAGGCGGGGGTGGGGGGAAGCAAATGGGAAGGGATCCAGGAGAAAAGACAGGGTAATGATGGGCCAGGTCCAATAGTGATTGATTTTAATAATGTATGAGAATGATTGCATGAAACCAATGTGAATGAAGAATAGTGGGAAACACAATGTCTATAAACTTTGTGAGCAAATCAATTAAAAATGTAAAATAAATAGAAAGAAATAACCAATATGATATGCCTTGCTAAAGACTTGGAGTTACTTAGCTAAATGATGAAATTCTCTCCCAGTTATTTTCACTACTCATAAAACTATTATGGGGAGTACCCTTAAATAAAATTTTATTGACAGAGAACTATCTTTTTAATCTCTTTTGCCAAAATATATTAATGAAACATTCCTGTGAGCTCCTGAAAGTTCTAAAATATGTAACTTTAGAATACTTAAGGTTGTCAGTTTCTCATCACTGGTTTGTTTTTTTAGGGAAGAGTAGACATCTTTGAGATTAGACTAAATGCTAGAAACCGTTATCTCAGAAACATAGTGTTTTTATACAAATACAAAGTGTCTTAGTAAAAACACTGTACTAATGCTCTTATAAATGAAAACAAAAATTTTATTGAAGGAATATGATCATTTTGAAGTGGGGAGACATTTACAGACATCCATATATACTCTTGTAATGTTCTGAATTGCAGAGGGAATAGTTGTTGTTGTTGTTGTTGTTATGTGCTGTCGAGTCACTTGCCACTTATGGTGACCCTATGTACAACAGCCCTACACTCTGCTCTGTCCTGTGCCAATTGCACTGTCTTTGACACACCCATCCCGATTATCCTAGTCACTGAATCAATCCACCTCATAGGGTCCTTCCCCTCCTGCGATGTCCCTTCACCCTCCCAAGCATGATGTCCTTCTCCAAGGACCAGTCCCTCCTTACAACATGTCCAATGTATGTTAGAAAGAGCCTCAGAATCCTTGCCTCCAAGGAGTCGCCCAATTTAACCCTTTCCAGGATGAATCTGTTTGTTTTCCTAGCAGTCCATAGTACCCTCAACACTCTTCTCCAGCACCACAGCTCAAAGGCATCAATTCTCTTTCTATCCTCCTTAGTCACTGTCCAACTCTCTGATGCATAGTAAGTGATAGCAAAGACCATGGCCTGTATTAGACACACCTTAGTCTCCAGAGAGACACCATTGCTCTTCAGTACTTTGGAGAGGTCCCTAACAGCAGATTTTCCCATGGCAATATGCCTTTTAATTTCCTGCCTACTGGTGCCAAGAGTGTTGACTGTGGAGCCAAGCAAACTAAAGCTGTGTACAATCTCAATCTCTTCACCATCCATCCTGATGCTGCCAATTGGCCCAGTGGTGAGAATCTGTCTTCTTGACATTGAGCCTCAATCCATATTGTAGGCTGCAGTCCTTGACCCTCTGCAGCAAGCACTTCAGGTCCTCCTGTTTCAGCAAGCAGGGTTTTGTCATCTGCATAGTGCAGATTGTTGATAGATCTTCCACCAATCCTGACACCGCATTTCTCCTCATAGAGCCTAGCCTCCCGGATAATCTGTTCTGCATACAGGTTGAAAAGGTATGCAGACAGGACACGTCCCTGGCGTACGCCCTTCCCAATTTTGAACCATGGAGCATTTCCTTGCTCTGTTCTGACGACTGCCTCCTGGTCCAAGTATAGATTTCTTATTAGCACGATCAAGTATTCTGGGAACAGTAAGAGTCTTAAAAAAGGCTATAGTAAACAAAGGATTCATGTTCTCAGGTATGTAAGGAAGGGGTGAATAATCATGGCAAAGGTTACAAAGGATTTGTTAAACTACTAGCTTAAACATTATCAGAAAGTTTATTAGTTGTATTATGAGACTTTAGAAAATTCTGGTGGTCTTGTCTGAAAGGAGTTTCCCTATTAACCTAAAAACAGGCTCTGGCCGTTTGGATGCACAATGACTCTTGCAGAGAAAGATGGACAGTTTTCTCCCACTTGATTTGCGACCTTAGAAAGCACACTAGAGGGTCAGCTTTAAGTAGGTTTCAATGGCATTGGGTTTAAGTTTGGGCTAGGTCACCATAACTCCCACCTTAATCACAAACTCACAGTTACAAAGAGTAGAAACACATTAGAAAATCCTAGTGAGGGAAATTTAAATGTGTAAGTCATTATCTATGAATTCTATGTCTTTGTGGTTTATTGTTTTATATGATCTAATAACCAAAAGGTCGGTGGCACAGATTCAGAAACCCAGCTGGAGATTGGCATGAGTTGGAATAAATCTGATAGTCATGGTTTTGTTGTTTTATTTGTTTATTTTTATATTATCAGTTCTATAACCTACTTTCCTATAAACCAAGCTATTTTCTTTGGGGCCATGTGCATTTTCAACAGGCACCAAGCATTTCTTTACACAGATTTAAAATTCTGATTTTTACTGTCTGTCTTTGTCTTCTGAACAGTAAAACTTTACAAACAGGCTTAATGACTTCTTTAGAGAAGTTAAAGTAGAATTATTCATTTTATCCAATATAGAGCTTCCTTTTAAAGTCTGAAATAAATTATGGCAGTACCTCAATTTTTCTAACATCTGCTACTATGCAAAAGAAATACACTAAAACATGTAAACATACACGCTTTTTCCCCTCCAGCCCATGGTTGGAGTTCTAATAAAAGTTTTAACACCATCTGTCACTTGCTCCTTTCTATGAAGATGTAAGATTAATGTCTTTGCTTAAATTTTCAGAACTATTTACATATCAATGCAATAATAAAATCCATGATGAGTTTTCTTCCATATGTTTATCTAGATTTTTATTCTTTTGCCATGATTCTCCACCCACTACCTCTCTTAAATGAAAGTATTGTGTTTTATCCCCTCCTAAGTACAGTTCTAGGAACATTTTAGCCTTTTATAAATAACATATTTTTAAAAACCATTTTTTCAGGATTCTTCTAACCCCTAAAGCACTTAATAGTCTAAATCAGAAACAATATTATATTGTATATTTTGCCCACTTCTAGTTTAATGTACTTTTCTTGTGCCAGAAGAGAAGTTTATTCACAACATGTTAATTCCTTTGAGACAAGCAATATAGATGGTAATTTATACAAGTTCATGTCATCTTCAGAGCTCAACAAAATGCTGATGCTAGCATAAACACACACACACACACACACACACACACACACACTGTGGGTACTTATTTGCTGTGTTACATCAGACTGTCATAATTTCAGAAGCTATAAATTGCATGAGATGAGATTATCTACCATTTTCTCTTGGAGCAGCTGGTGGGTTCAAACCATGAGCCTTTGAGTTGATAGTACAACTCCTTACCACTAGATCACCTGAGCTCTCTTTATATATGTTCTAATATGAACAATTCTACAAGGACTTGGAGAATGCTCAAAGTATGAAATTTACTAATACATAAGGAGAATAAAAACCCAGAAAAGGAAATCCAGAAAGCTATACCATTTACAATAGCCAACCACCAATTAAGATACTTGGGAGTAAACCTAACTAGAGATACAGAAGCCCTAGACAAAGAAAATTAAAAAGCATTTCTGCAAGACACAATAAAAGACCTAAAGAAATGGGGAAATGTGCCCTGTTCATGGATAAGAAGACTCAGTATCATGAAAATGACAATTGTACCAAAAGCAATCTACATGTTCGACACAATCCAAATACCAAATTCATTTTTTAAGATTGAAAGGGAAATTGTCAAATTCATTTGAAGAGGAAAGAGACTTTGAATAAGCAAAACACTCCTGAGAAACAAAAATGAGGTTGGAGGCATAGCATTCCCTGACCTCAAAACCTACTACACAGCAGTAGTAACCAAAACAGCATGGTACTGGTACAATGACAGGCACATAGGCCAAGGGAACAGAATTAAGAACCCAGAAATAGTATGGTCAACTCACATTCAACAAGGAAATCAAAGATATCATATGGGAAAATGACAACCTCTTCAGCAAATGGTGCTGTCAAAGCCAAACTTCTACATGCAGAAAGCTGAAAGAGGATCCACATCTCACCCCATGTACAAAAATACACTGAAGGTGGACCTGAGAGTAAAGCCTAAAACAATAATGTTCATAAGAGACAAATTAGGATCAAGCTTAGAAGGCCTAGTGTATGGTATAAAGAAACTGCCAGATACACCCAGAAATGCACAATCTGAAGAGGATAAAATTGATGAATTGTACCTTCTAAAGATTAATTCCATGTGCACATCAAAACCTTTTTCCAACATTGTGAAAAGAAAACCTGCATACTGGGAACAAACCTTTGGTAATACCATCTTGGATGAGTTTCATAAGGAAAGTTTAGAGAATTATCCTGGGCCTCCACAAGAAAAAGACTGATAATCTAATTATAAAATGGGCAAAAAACATGGAAAGAATTTTCGCAGAGGAAGAAATTTGGATGGCCAATAGACGCATGAAGAAATGCCCAAAATCTCTGGCAATAAGAGAGATGCAAAT